AAATATCTAGGTACTGTTTGCATGATAATCTTAGGTTAGTTGATGTTTATTTTTTCCACTATGTTGTTTTAAATGTAGTGGTTTGTCAGATCATTAGACTTTTACGAATATACATCAATTTCAATTTAGTAAAATATCAAATAATTTTTAAATTTTGTAAAATTTTTAGTCTTAATCTATTCATTTAAAATTTTTAATTTAATTGTTGGATCGTTAAAAAATTTAATATAACCAATGTAAATTATTAAATAAAGTAAGTCTATACAAACTTACTCTTAATTTAACTAAAATCCTTCCTATTAATAATTTATTAAAACATTTCAATAGCATTTTTTTATATTTATATTTCAAATCGATGTAAGAGAAACAAATATTAATTACCTAGATATATCCATGTTTTTGTAAAAACGAAAATATTTAGTAAAAATATATATTTATCTATTATTATCATAAGATTCCCTTATTTGGTAATATTTTTTAATACCATTAGTGTTATTATTTAATTAAACAATTAAAATAGTAAAATAATAAATACTTTTCATCACAATTTATAATTATTTTATTTCTTGGTATCTAAAAAATTCAAAAAATAAAATGCAAAGAATGTAAAATTAGGTGTTAATAAAAATAATACATGTTCTAAAGATTAATTTTCACATTGTTAAGATAATATTTAACTAATTAAAGTGAAATTTTGTGAGTATAAATTAGCTCTTAATTATCTAATAATTTTGTCTATAAAAATATAATTAGCATTTTAGGGATGCTTGTTAAAGAAAAAAGAAAGATTTTCTTTTAGGAAAACAAGTTTATTGTGTTATAAATATAAAAAAGTTAACACTTATATTTAAATAATTAAATGGATCATGTAATATATTTAATATTCTTTATCTATTACTTATTGTATTAAGATTATGTTTAATAGTGAAATTTTAAAACAAAAGAAAATAAATGAAAAAATTTATTTGATAATTTTAAAATAAAAAAAATATGTTAATATAAACTCAATGTCATGTTAATATTAACTCAATGTCATATGTTTTTTTTATATGCCTTTTTTAATTTAACAAATAAAAAATTGGTTAAAATATTTTTTTTAGTTCTCATACTTTTATTTAATTTTTAATCCTTATAGTTTAAAATAAATATTTTTAGTCATTATAATTATCTTTTTAAACCATTTTAGTCCTAAAATTTAAGATAAATCTTTTTAGTCCCTGTACTTACAATTTTTATTTAATCCTATTATTAATTCATTTTGTGTAACATTTTCTCTTTTGTATTTATATGACAGATGTATTAATTCAACTTTGTGTTTGATGTTAACTTTATTTTACTAGTTACTTTAAATAAAATATCTCGAAGTTTTGTGTCTTTTTGTATCCTCACTCACGATGTCCATTATTGAGACATTTTTTTACTCTAAAAAATTGAATACCTCTATCACTAACACAAAACAAATAACTTTACCAAAAAATTTAATGATAAAGACTAAAAGAATTTAAAAATTGCGAGTAGAGTGTTAAAAATATTTACCTTAAACTATAAAAATAAAAAATATTGATAAAAATAAGTATACAGACTAAAAATGTCTATTTTAAATTATAAGAATTAAAAAATAAAATAAATGAAGTTATAGAGATCAAAAAATATTTCATCCTAAAAAAAATTGTTCTTTTTTCCTTTTCTTTGATATACTTTAGCCTTAATAAATATATCCTAGTACACTTGGTATAGGGACTTACATCTAAGGTGAGAATAGGCTCAAGCTTAAACAACGGTCTATGATCTGTCTCTTTAAAGTCTGGTTTGACATGACATCTTTAATAAAAATATCATATTTAAACTTTTAAAAACAGTCTATTTATTTAAAAATGATAGGTTTAAGTTTATAAAAAAACTTATTAGACCTGATAGGACAACCTATTTATCTATATAATATAATAAAAAATTAATATATATTATTAATAATATAAATAAACAAATAATTATATTAGTATTAAATTGATTGTATTAAATAATTATCATCTTTTTAAATTACTAAATTTTGCTATAATTAAACTAATAATCTGAATAAATATTATCATAGTTATTTTAATTTTTTAAAAGAATAATTGGTTATGAAAGTATGTCAAATGAGATAATTGAAATAATTAGGAAGTTTTTTTTAATAAGATTAACCCTTACATGTAGGGATGGCAACGGGGCGGGGCGGGTACAGGTTTCATGATACCCGTCCCCGTCCCCGCGA